CATCATTAAAGCATAGTGATTAATCACAAAAACAGTATGTAATGATATATGTGTTTTCTGATGGTCTTAGGCGCCCCCTGTGAAAGGGTCGTTCGACCCCCAAAGGGGTCGCGACCCACAGGTTGAGAACCGCTGCCCTAGCTGGTTTGGCTCAGTGGATAGAGCGTCGGCCTGCAGACTGAAGGGTCCCAGGTTCGATTCTGGCTTGTAGGCTCTGGATAGACTGAAATGGCAGTAGCCCACTGACATGTAAGGAAAAGAAAGCATGGTGAAGCTTTTAGGCCATCTTTAGGTATTTTCTCATGTAAATATCGGTGAGATCCTGGTAGACAGAAATCGAATCGTTACCGTAATTTTTATTCCTGTATATTTCGGGATCTTGAAGAAACAGACCTCAACCACGTCATATGCTAAGTGAACAGCCTGCAATATTTCATTTTTCCCCCCTTTGTCCTTCCCCAAAGAGTCCTATCGCTATGAAAGCAAAAGTCATAGCGCTAATAATCCTTCGGGGACCGGCAACCAGGATGGGTGCCTATTACTGACGAAGCTCTGTAGCTGGAAATTGCGTTGAAGCTGGGATTCAGTTACATTTCCCTTCCGGTTGTCTCCAGTGTGAATATTCCCACGGACGCATGACTGCCAAGAGCAGAGGGACCTCTTTCTCAGCACCTGGTCGGCACTAGGGACCTCGCCTGCACCAACTCTGCGCTTCCTTCCCCCAGTGGGACCCATCAACCTGAGGACAGTCTCCGCTCCGGACCAACTCGGACCCGCCTCCCTGGTCACGTCATCTGGGAAGAGATGATGCCCAGACTCTCCGCGCACGTCCTTGTGCACACGAGGCAACGTGTAGGTGCGACCTCTCCCATCTGTCCTGGGAATGGCCCTCGCCAGTGCCCAGGACTCCACTCTCTTGTCCTCCCCCTCCCCCTCCTCCTCCTCCTCTTCCTCTTCCTCCTTCTCCCCTCCTCTCCTCCTCTCTTCTCCTTCTCCCCTCCTCCTCCTTCTTCTCCTCCCCTTCCTCCTCCTTCTTCTCCTCCTCTTCCTCCTCCTCTTCCTCTTCCTCTTCCTCCTCCTCCTCATCCTTTCTTAGAATCTGCAGTTTTGTCCAAAGACACCCATTCCTTTTTCCAGCGCCTGCTGAGGAAGGCGGGTCCAGGTGACACAAAAGAAGGCATAAGCCGACGTTTCTACTTCCAGGGAGGGTCCCATGGCCCCCAAAGCCCTGAGTGTAGGTAAAAATAGTAACCATACCACCAGCAGCTTGAAAGAGCGTGTGAAACAAGCCAGGGAAAGGGGCAACCGGGCAGCATTGCACGGGCGATGCCGGTGGCGGGAGTGACCAAGGAGAAGCCGAGGGAGGACACGAGACCTAGAGCCTCCGGGCCCTGAGGAAGGGAGTGGACAGGACCCGGTGGGGGACAGCCTGAGGCTCGGGCTGAGTTAATCGGCCAGAAAAGAGAAAGCACAGAGGTCCCCGCCCTGCCCGGGCCCAGCTCCTCGCTCCCCCACGAGCCCAGCTGCTCGGCCAGGAGTATGGAGTGGACGCCATTCAGAGATTATTAAAAACTAAAATCAGCCCTGGCCAGTGTGGCTCAGCGGATAGAGCTTCGGCCTGCAGACCAAAGGGTCTCGGGTTCGATTCCAGTCAAGGGCACGTACCTCAGTTGCAAGCTCCTCAGGCCCTGGTCATGGCCTGTGCAGGAGGCAACCCATCGATGTGTTTCCCTCACTTCGATGTTTCTCTCTCTGTCTCTCCCTCTCTCTTCCCCTCTCCCTAAAAATCAATGAAAAAATATCCTCGGGTGAGGATTAAAAAACAAAAGAAAAAACCCCACAATTCCAACATAGCAAAAAAAATTTTAAACAAAACAAACTAAAGTCACAAAACTTGGGAGCAAATGCAACAAACTCAGGCGGTAGCCACTGCCCTGCCTTTCAGAGGGAAGGAGAGGGGTGGGAAGACAGATTGCATGATGAGGATCTATTTTTTTTTCCAAACACAAAACGAGATTAAATTTAGAAGAGCAGGCAGGTTCCTCCGCTCAGAGTTGAGTCTGGAAGTAGCGAATGGGGATCACGAATGAGTACGAGGTGGTGACAAGGAGCTCTGAGCGCAGACGATACAAAGAGACACGGCCAAGAATCGAAGCCCCCGGGACCCCAATTTTTAAAACTAGACAGATCGCTAGATCAATGGTAGACTGATCTGTAACACATATAAAACTCCAGATAAACATATATTCATCACACAGAACCAATACCCGTCACTCACACATATGACCCAGCTCAAGTCGCCACCCTGGCCCTGTGCTTACGCAGAACAAGAGATAAAAATGGGGAAAAGGCCCCTAACCCCACCTGACCCTTCCTCTAACAAAATGCACTTTCAATGCTAGCCATGCTAAGGGCCCCCCGCCCCCCCCCGGGCAGGTTTTGATTACAAAAATTTTTTTTTTTAATTGATGAATACCCATGCACCCCACATCGCTAAATTGCAAAGTATTTAGAACTTCATGGGGTTGCTTAGCAGATGGGGTGGGTAAGGTGCACCGAGTGCCTGCAATGTGCAAGGCCAAGTACGTGGGTGCAACGTGAGCTACTTCCTTTCGACGGCGATGGATGGAAAAATGAAGAACTGGTCCCAGGAAATGAGTGCTCGCTGCTCTGACTCAGAGCTTGCTCGCTCATCCCCGCACCCGCACCCCCACCCTGGGCCCCAGCGTTAACTTAGACATTTTCAACCCAAACCAAGAGTTTGGGCTTTCAGTTTTCACGGCAAAGGCACCCACCGGGGAGATGCCACACTTCTGTGCAGGACGCAAGCCCGCGTGGCTGCTGCCCCGACACAGTTACACGTTGATGTATTTTAGGGGTGAAATAGCATCGCAATCGTGCCCGTGGATGTCTCTGGACGTTTGGTCCTATTTCGTTAGGCCTTCGGGGTACACAACGTACTCCCAATTGCGACCCGGGAGCCTAACGCCCTACAAACACTGAACGCAGATTGCACGCAGTTAGATAAGACATAGCACCTTTGTTGCTGATAAAGAAACATATTCAACTCAAAGCATGAATAACTTCCCAGATGAGACCCTCACTCGCCAAATGCCTTTCAGAACTCAAAAGCATGATCAACAAGATTTGCAGACACAGATGGTTAGACCTATATTTCCCCCCGCCGCCAAAACAAAAAACCTAAGTATATATATTTCAGGAAGACTATCAACACCTTTTAGAAAAATGTCTGCTCTCCATATGTATGTGAGCAACGGACGTTCAACTTGAACTTCCAAAACAAATCTATGCACATCTATCCACTTATGTCTAGTATAAGGGTTGAGAGGTTTTTAGATCACTTTTATCCTCTGATTTTGATTGCAAACTCAAGGACGTTCCTTAACGTGAAAGCCCTTCACGTGAAAGACTGGGTTGGGTTGGAATTTCTAGGGGGGCTTGCCCTGCGGCCAGCCGAATATTTCCGAACCCCTTTCAGAAATGCTTCGAAGCCGTTCTGGAGTGGGACTTGTTCATGGGAAGGGACTCTGGCGTATGAGAATACACACGTGATCGCCCTATTAAAGGCCTTCTTCTCTATCACTCGTTTTTGATTATGTGAAGCGACTTGAGGAGGACGGTAGCTAGCAAACGTTGCCTGTACTAAGACAAAACGCCATCACTGTGTAAAATCACTCCAGTCCATCTCTGCAGTCACACACACACACGCACACACACACACATACACACACACACACAGGCTCGCACACCGCTTCCCACCGTCCGGGGCCACACAGAATAGAAACTGGCAAATGCAACAAACCCAGGAGGCAGCCACTGCCCTGCCTTTCAGAGGAAAGGAGAGGGGTGGGAAGACAGATATCAAATAAAATAGAAAAAGATTTTCAAAGTGAATACTGACAAGCAAGATTTTTTAAAATAACTTTATATATATATATATTTTTTTTTTTTTACTTATTTGGGATTTCTACAAAAATACCATGTCTCTGTCCTTTCAACAACAAACAACAACAAAAAACAGCTTTAGGTACGACACCGTAAAGAGTAACATGAAATATCCATTTGGTAGCCCCGTTGAATCATCAACGGACATGTACTCAGGACCCGAACTGAAACTGTTCAGAAAATTCTCCTTCCACCGACCGAGGAGCCTACAGAGATTCTCAAACGTCAAAAGGTCCCTGACGTCCCATGAGTCACATTTTCCTCAGCGGCCTCATGTGGGCTTCATTGCTGGGGGGTCGTATGATTATCTCGCCGCCGCCGAGGTCCTCACACCCACCCATCACCCAGGAAGGGCGGTGGCCCCCCCTACGAATCTCCAAAGCGAGTGAGTAGCACAGCGACGCGTAAGGACGGGTATGGAACCAAGAACTCGATCTAAGACACCTTCTGGGATAAGAACATGCCAACAGGTGACATTTTCCCACATGGCCACGGGCATTCTCTTCCACGGCCATCGAACAAAGGCAGCCACAAAGCCCATTGCTATTCATCACCATTTGAGGAAGTGGCCTGCTGGTCCGGAAAGTGGGGGTGGCTACGTGCAAGCGAAGGCATAGCATGACTTTAAAAAAAAAATGCATTTCTGGTTAAGAGGATAAAAATTCACTTATTTGGGTCCTTAACGTGTCCTTGGATTTCATACACGGACACCCAGGCCCGTGCGAGGGCGGAGTAACAATGGCTTTTGTAATACCCTCGCACAGTCTGCCAGCGAAGACTCATCCTTTTAACTTGTGATTTTTTTTAATTTTTACTTTTTTGTCCCTTAAATAGGTAGGCATTTTTTCAGCAGAAACCATGGCTTGGGTCTCAGCGCGAGCCAGGGTCTGTCTGAGCTCGGACAGCCCTGCCCATCCTACTCCCTCCCTTCCGGTCACTACCCCTTCACTTGTTCCTATGTCCGTGTCTCAGACCGATGTCCCCCCCTCAAGCAAACGCTCGGAGAGGAAGTCGTAAGAGTCCCAGGTCCTTACCTTGCCCGACGACCCCGGCGTCCAGACAGACACAGGCCAAAGCCAGCAGCTTCAGCCACAAATCCATGGTCATTATCAGGAGATCGGCCTGTGGCCCAGCATGCGTCCCTCTGCGAAGGGGAAGACAATGGTTATCACCGGGCAAGTGCGTCCCCCGCGGAAACCCGGTGACAAAGATGGGGCGCGGGCGCCTACCCCTCGCGGATGTCTTCTCAGACCCCAGCGATTTCCTCCTCTGCCGCCCTGAGAACGAGCCACTCGCTGGTCTCCAGGGGCGGTGGGTGGTGATGTCAGATTGGTTTCACTAACTTCTCCAAAAGCGCGGCCCCGCGGCCTCTTTGCAGGAAGTCAAGAAGCTCGTTCAAAGCCAGTGTGACAGGCATCTCACTTCCTTGGTTCGCGTCGCTCGGCTCGGGGCGCAGGCCTTCGGGGAGAATTTTGTCCCTGCAAGGAAGATGGCTCTTGAGTATCCAAGTGATGCTCCCCTCGCAATATTCATTCCTGTTGGAACACACCGTATCCTCCCTCCTCCCTTCCCCCGACCCCCCAAGTAACCAATGATTTTCTTACCCAAGAGATGGTGGTGCAGGTGGAGCATGGGCCGGTGGTGGCAAGGGGATTCGTTAGTAGACAAGACCTGGATTTGATGTTACATGACCACGGGAATCCTATATAATAGAGAGCTAATAGGCTAATTAGACCAAACAGCCGGACGACCTTCTGGATGACCTTCCGGACGACCTTCTGGATGAAGCCGGGGCTGCGAGGGCCGAGCCCCTTGCACGAATTTTGTGCACCGGGCCTCTAGTGGGTCAATAATGACCTATTGGTTATTTTGGGCCATGGTTAATCCTGCCCCATTAGGGCATAGGAAACCCAGCTATGTGACAACCTGAACACTCAAACCATCTCCCATGCAAAGACCCCCTGAGAGCTTAGCAGGGCCTCCCCAACTCGTTCCCTGATCCCCTGGCGGAGCCCAGGATTGAAATCGGAACTCGTGTACCCGACAGCAAATCCTGCTTCAAAAAATTCATGCTTCCGTGACTTGAGATATTATTCCCTGTTGACGAGGGAAAGACGGGCAAGAAAACTCAAGATCCGTCTCTTACAAAAGCTAACCCTTTTCCCCCCTCAGCCATACTTCCCAGCCCTTTTCATTAAAAGAGACACATGGCCCTGGCCGGTGTGGCTCCGTGGATAGAGCGTCGGCCCGCGGACGGAAGGGTCCGGGGTTCGATTCCCGGTCAAGGGCACCTACCTCGGTTGCAGGCTCGATCCCTGGTCGGGGTGCGCGCAGGAGGCAACCAGTCGATGTGTCTCTCTCTCATCGATATTTCTCTCTGTCTCTCCCTCTCCCTTCCTCTCTCTCTAAAGATCAATGGAAAACTATCCTGGGGTTCAGATTAACAAAAAAAAAAGGAAATAAAAATAAACAAGAAGAGACAAATGAACATACAATGTTCTTCATGATTCTGATGGGTGCCTGGTACAGCCCTAAAAATGCGTACATATATTTATTGAAAAAGTACGGGTACTATGGACCCTTACAGTTCAAACCCATGTGTGAGGGTCAACTTTAGCTCCACGGACTCTTTCGTAAGATACCTTTGCAGTGGAAAACCATCCGGGGGTTAGCTCTGACTATTTTTTAAATATATTTTTATTGATTTTAGACAGGAAGGGAGGGAGAGGGAGAGAGAGAGAAACATCCATGATGAGAGAGAATCATGGGTCGGCTGCCTCCTGCACGCCCCACACTGGGGATGGAGCCCACAACCCAGGCACATGCCTTGAAAGGGAATCGAACCGTGACCTCCTGGTTCCTAGGCCCACGCTCAGCCACTGAGCCACGCCGGCCGGGCCAGCTTGAATATTTTTGAGCCAACACTTGTGTTCACTTAGCTCGCTGCTCCGGCAGCGACCCTGACTGGGGAGACAGCGTGTGACACCCAATCTTTTAAAGGGGAGTCGAGTCTATAAAATATACTCTATAACAAGCCAGGGACAGGGGTGCAGACGCCTTCAAGAGACATGTAAAAAGGCCTTTGAAGACCATGGCGCTGAAGACACAGGAAGAATTTAGGGCAGCGGTTCTCAACCTGTGGGTCGCGACCCTTTCACAGGGGTCGCCTAAGCCCATCGGAAAACACATCGATAATTACATATTGTTTTTGGGATTGCTCACTATGCTTTAATGATGTTCAATTGGTAACCATGAAAATACATCCTGCAGATCAGATATTTACATGATGATTATTCACAGTAGCAACATGACAGTGATGAAGTGGCCACGAAAATAATTTTATGGTTGGGGGTCCCCACCACATGAGGAGCTGTATTAAAGGGCCGCGGCATGAGGAAGGTTGAGAACCACTGCTTTAGGGGATGCAATTCCATTGGACCTCCGTCTGGCCGGGTGGGCACACGCAGGAGTGACGTCCATCCCCACCCCGCACCCCCACCCCCACCCCCATCCCCACCCTCACCCCCCACCCCAGCGGCTCAGGATCGATCCATCGGTAGTGAAAACAGACTAGTAAACAAACAATTACAGTGCAGCCAGAACACGTGGTGTGGCCTCCGGGAGGAAGCGATCCACCATGGCTGAGTGGCCCTCGGAGGCACAGCGGGGCCGTGGGGCCGGGTGGGGGAGGGGCAGGCCACACCTGCACGAGGGTTCCACCCAAACACCTAGTTTGAGAAAGGGAAGGGCCTGGGTTTCACCACATCACAGTGGGAGGGAGGGCTGGACGCTTGGAGGGGATGCTAAAGGGTTAGATTTCAGCCTGGGGGCCGGACCGTCAGAGCATCCAGGTCAGGGAGGAATAGGATGATATATATTCTTTTCTCTCTCTCTTTTTTTTTTTTAATCCTCCCCCGAGGCTATTTTTCCATTGATTTTTAGAGAGAGTGGAAGAGAGAGGGAAAGCCAGAGAGAAACATCCACCGGCGTGAGAGAAACACACGGATGGGTGGCCTCCTGCACACGCCCCGACCAGGGCCAGGGGTCCAGGGAGGAGCCTGCAACCGAGGTCCGTGCTCTTGACCGGAATCGAACCCGGGACCCTTGGGTCTGCAGGCCGACGCTCTATCCCCTGAGCCACACTGGCCAGCACAATGACCTGGATTCTTCATCAATCCTTCTGCCCATGGCACAGGGAGGTCTTGCCTGAGTGTGGGGACAACAGTGGTGACCCCGTGATGGAGGCCAAGCCGGAAGGAAGAGCGGGGGCGGGTGGCGGGGGGGGGGGGCGCAGGTGGTAGGGACCAGAAACAAAAGGCAGGAAAGACGCCTCATGGAGGACACATCTGGGAGTGGCCAGTGGGAGGTGAGTGTGGCGGCTGCGGGTCCAGGCCGAGCTCTCCCGTGTCTCATCTCGCCTGATTCCCACTTTGCCTGCTTTGCATTTCACAGACGCTTCCCTTTTCTTCTTCTTCTCTGCGACCAACTCATTTCCATTTTCCCTCAAGAAAACAATGTGCTTTAAACAATGAAGAAACCAAACAGGAACTAGACACACTGATGGTTGCCAAATGGGGGAGGAGGGGGGGAGGTGGTAAAAACATAATGAACGAATAAGAATATATAACTTGGCCCGGCCAGCGTGGCTCAGGGGTGAGCATTGCCCTGTGAACCAGGAGGTCCCGGTTCGATTCCCCGTCAGGGCACCTGTCTGGGTTGTGGGCTCGACCCCCAGTGTGGGGCCTGCAGGAGGCAGCCGGTCCATGAGTCTCTCTCCTCATGGATGTTTCTCTCTCTCTCTCTCTCTCTCTCTCTCTCTCTTCCTCTCTAAAATCAATAAAAATACGTATTTGAAAAAATATATATATACAACTTGGTAAGAACTCATGTTTTTTAAATTTCATCATCTTTATGTCATGTCCCTTCTAAGCAACTTTTGGTTGATACATTCTCATTCTCCCACTGCCCCCCCCTTCTTTCTCTCTCTCTCTCTCTCTCTCTCTCTCCCTCTCCCCCTTCTCTCCCCCCCTTTCTCTCTCTCTCCCTCCCCTCCCCGTCTCTCTTCTCTTCCCCTCTCTCCCTCCCTCTCCTCCAAGCACTCAGAATGTGTGCAGTGACATAACTCCCAAGAGAGAGGAGAGGGGGTGACCTGTGTTTAAGACCCCCTCCCCCCCGCCAGGGCAGCGAGGGCGCATGGGGAAGACTCCCCAACCCCAAGCGCTTGCAGGGCCAGCTCTCTGTGCAGCAGCTCCCCATGCAGCCCCCACACAGGGCGTAGGAAGTGGCACCTTGGTCTGCAAGCTGAGAGCAGCTAGTGCAGGCCTGGGTGTCACCCTCCCCCGGGGCTGCCTCTGATGTGGGCGGAGATGTGCTCACCCCAGATGCTCCGCTGGCTCCTCCCTCCCCCTCCCTCCCCTCCTCCCTCCCAGCTCTGCAGCTGCAAAGTGCGGGCACTGAGCCCTGAGAGGGGCCACAGGGACCTACAGAAGCAGACGCGTGGTTGACAATGGGGATGGTGGCTCCTGGGAGCAGGTCCTGGGGCGCTGGGGGCACCCCCTTAGTGGTGGCTGGCCAGCCTCCACCCTGCTGCCCAGGAGGGGGGCCGGAAGGCACTCAGGAGGCCCGGTTCCCCTTCTCACCGCCCCTGCTGCAGCTTGGCCTCCTGGGCTCCTGAGGGAACCTCTTCCACTGGCTGAGGAGGGCGGGTTGTGGGGACACACAGCAGCCCGGGGTTCATCGCACAGGTGGGGGGCGGCCGAGCTCCGAGGTCAGAGCCGGGAGCTGAGCTCTGCCGGTCCCAGCCCCCCGAGGTTGTCGATGCAGCGCAGGGGCGGTCGACCTTTCACCCGGCAGCAGGTGAGCGTTGCCATGGCGATGACATGCATGACTGGGAGAGCAGTTCCTCCCTCACACACATTCCTGCCCTGAGTCATGCGTCCATCCATCCCCACTCCAGACGAGATCCCTTCTCATTTACATACAGAAGGGATGAACTACCCGGCCGGCCAGCTCAGGTGTTGAGCGTCGACCTATGGACCAGGAGGTCACAGTTCGATTCCAGGTCAAGGGCACATGCCCGGGTTGTGGGTTCGATCCCCAGTGTGGGGCGTGCAGGAGGCAGCCCATCCATGTTCCTCTGTCATCATTGATGTTTCTCTCTCTCTTCCTCTCTGAAATCAATAAGAGTATTTATATACACACTAGTGGCCCGGTGCACAAAATTTGTGCATTGGGGGGTAGTCCCCTCAGCCTGGCCTGCACCCTCTCCAATCTGGGACCCCCTCGGGGGATGTCCAACTGCCGGTTTAGGCCCGATCCCTGAACCGGCAGTCGGACATCCCTCTCACAATCCGGGACTGCTGGCTCCTAACTGCTCCCCTGCCTGCCTGATTGATGCCTATCTGCTTCCCTGCCAGCCTGATCGCCCCCAACTGCCCTCCCCTGATGGCCTGATCCCTCCCAGCTCCCCTCCCTGATGGCCTGATCGCCCCCAAGGCTTCTGTTAGTATAGATATACGTATATAACAAAGAGATCACATCGAGACAGAGAGACAGGTAGGCAAAGAAAACCGCCGAATCCTAACAACTGGGGCCCCTCCGTGTGTGTGGGGGGGGGGTGGGTTCCTGTCCAGCCTTTTGATATTTGTTGTTTGAGTTTGATCGCACGCACTTCAAAGGAAGCAGACGTGACGCCCACCTGAACATTGACCCCCCAGGCTGGGCCCCCGTGGTGCCTGCGCTGGACTGGAAACTGCCCGCTACGTGGTAG